AATTCAAAATTAAAGTAAAAACAAGTATTATCGACTTAAACATTAAGATTTTTATTCGTAGTAAAATACTTATAGAGATCAAATTTTTTGATAACCAATCGAAAATTAATGATACAATTATCAATATTTTTGTTTGTGTGACAGAATTCAAACACGTTTCATACTTTTTTTTAATAATCAAAAAAATTTAATTTGAACGGTAAATTTTAAACTCGATGAATAATAAATTCGTTTTTTTATGCTTCTTTAAAAATGTAAAAATGTAACATACTCATTATTTCTATTGTCGTGTTTTTAAATTACAAAAATGAGTACACACAGGATAATAGTCACACTAAATTTAGGACGAACTATAATTTAAATTTAGCACTAAATTCTAAAATTATAAATAAAGACGTCAATTGCCTAATTTGAAAATGATGTATGTAATTTAATAATAAAATCCTGATAATAGAACAACTATTTTTTTTTAAGAAAAAAATATATATATACAAGAATAGTGTAAATAATTAAACTACGTAAATAAATAATAAACTATTACATGTTGTCTACAATAAACTAATGTCTAATAGGAATTATAACATATACCAATTGATTTTTTTTTTCAATTTTTTATTATTCAACATCTGATACTTATTTTAAAAGCTAACCCAATAAATTTGGGGTTTTGGTGATATCATTAATTAACATGAAAAATTCAATCAATCATTGACAATTATAATGTATATAGTTAACAAAATGAAATTTCAAATGTACGAATTAGCACGATTAAATCGTAAATTAAGGTTGAATATTACCTTAGTGATAAATATTTTTGTGAAAATTATATAATATAATATAATATAAATATTACGAGTAATTTTTTATTGTAATTTCCTTGATTTTACATTTTGCTAGTTGAAATTTAATTTTGAAACACAAATAATTGTGATATAATTTGGATCACATGATGTGAAATAGGACAAAGTTTAAGGGGTCCTAGTGAAATTTCGAGGAAATTTCCTTTTTAAACTTCTATAGAAATTTTGGATCAGAATTTTGTGAAAATTATTATAAACAGAGTGATGGCTACACGTGGCACTGCTAAAACAAAATTCGTTAGGATCGAATCCACGCACACTTGATGAATTAAGAACACAAGAACTTTCAAGAGAAAGAGACGAGAGATCTAGAAAGAGAAAGAGAGAAATCAATATTTCGTGGTAACACCTCGTAAGTAAACTTTCACGGCGGTAGATATATATATTAATAATTCAGAGTATTTTAGGCTCTACAACCTAACAAAATCTTGACAGGATGTGCATATAATAAATATGTGATGGATGACAGAATTAAAATTTTCAATAAAACGTTTACTTTTTTTTTTAGTGAAAATGTGGGTTATTTGACTGAAAAATGTGATTTTTCAAAAGAAAAAGTGTTTGGAGAAAAATCATTGCATTCGTAGCTCCATTCATCATGATATTGTTTCACTTGAATTTTAGCTAGCGTCAGATCATAAATTATGAAAATATATGTTAGAAAATTATCTTTATATACTTATTTAATAATGAAATTGATGTTATTTTTAATATATGTTCTTCAAAAGAATTTAAGTTAAAAATCTAGCTTAGATCAGTTTTTGGGTTTTTGAAGACTTTTACTTATAAAATCTTAAGCTTTTTTCAAGTAAAATATATATTAAATTAAATATCAAATTTTAGAAATTATAAATTCACAAATTTAATTTTTCAAAATTTAAATTTCAACGTTAAAATTTATGGCCAAATGAGATCACTTATTTTCTCTACTTTCTCATTTTCAAGATAGTTGTTGGTTGATTTTTCGATTGAATAAATGACATTTTGCAAAATATCACTAAATACCTTACAACATATTTATAACTAGTATATAATATTTAGATATTTTAAACAACTATAAATAGTTTAATTGCTAGGTTACACTCTTTAGTGCATCACCTTGAAGTGAACTTTGTGCATATTTACAAACAAATCAACCCCTTAATTAGTAACATATATTTTTGGCAAACAATGAAATGAAATCTCAATCCAAAAGCATAGTTTCATCGATCTTTGTAATCTCCTTTTAGTCGTGGCGGTTGAATTGTGTGACCAGTTATCTTATCTAACAATTTTAGTTATTACAGAGAGTATATTTTATTTATTTAATCTCATCTTTTAACATGATCAATCCTTTATGTTCTGAGTTAATTAAGTAATTTTTTTTAAAAAAAATTACAATAAAAAATACAAATGAAATTTAATTTCAAATCCTCTATTTATCGTAATACTATCTTAAAATGTTCGACTATCTTATGTGAAAATCATTCTCACACTTCAATAATAATAAATGTCATGTTGAATTCCATTAAGTTTGAACATCCCATATATTAGAGTTAAAATATTAAATGTTGGTATTATTTTAATTAAAAAAAAGTACTGTTTTTTCAAACTTTATTCTTATGGGAAAAAATGATTTTTTTTTAATGCCCACTTCTTCTTGTAATATTCTTTTTAGTTGTCAATTAAATAATTCACTTAGTTGGCCAAGCTTTTAAGTTTATTTTAGAATAAAGTAAACTCACTCAAAGCAATGAGATATTAAGAAAGTGTGATACTTGCAAGTCTCAATTAACTAAAGAGATTAAAAAGTTAATCAAGTGCATGAAATGAATTAAGAATTGAGTAGTTGCCATTAAAAGTAGCTAAAAATCTTTTAATTATCTTTTATCTTAATTTAAAAAATAATCCTCTATAAGTTTGTTGAATCAAAAAGGAATAAATGAACTTTGTGATTTGGAAGTTTTTGTAGTCTTGTATGATCTCATGGCCAAACAAATCTATGTAAAGTAATAATGTAATTAAGAAGCAAAAGGATATACATACATAACTTAGAAGGCTTAATTTGATTATTTGCTAATCTTGTTCGTTTGCTTCTTACTTTTAATTTTTCCTTTTCCTTAATATATACTTTATTTCTTTTGATTTTTTATCTGATCTAACGTTTGGTACATTTAATGCTCAGTCTTAAAGATAATTTCATATTTTGCGTTCAAATACAAAATTTCTAATTAAGGATGAAAAGTATTTATCACGACTACACTGTGAGCTATGAAGATACAAATTATCATAAAAAGGGCATTATTTTTGAATTTTCCCACAAAACAAGATGATTTCAAATAAGCCAATTACTGAAAATGACATTTTAAAATATAATGTTTTTTATTAGTGGAATCATCGCACTTGACAAATCTATTACGGAAAGTGAAAGCCAAAATTTCAAAGGATAAAATAATATTGTCTTTCATCATAAAAAAAAAGTTAAAAAGATTTGTAAATATTGACATATCATATTAAAGATATGTATATAATGCTATAATGTGTCAGATTATTATTTGAATCTTATATTTTAAATATGTCATATATAAGATACTAAGATTTAAAAAAAATGAAATAGGAAGTTGCTTGCTTGATAATTTTTCATGTTACCTACCACGTTCAATTGTTATTCAACTTGATTAAATTTGCACGTATTGTTAAATTATATACAAATCCTAACTAATTGGTAAGACTCTATATCATTTTTATTCTATTTTTCATATTCAATTGATGATAAATCTTGATAGATTGACATGACTGATTTTTATATTATAATATTTTACAAGTTTTGTTATCCGCTCTTAAAAAACATATTTTCCTTGGACATGACATCGATTTCTAAGAACTTAATTAAACACTAGCATATATTAAAAAATAAAAAAGTAAATATTAATCTATTTGAAGGATAAATAGTACGATTAAATAACACGAAAGTATCTTAATTTTAAAAGGGAAATTTACATAAATACACTACAACAAAAAAATATTTACCATTTATAGCAATAATAAATTTTTGGGAAAATTGTATATAATAGCAAACTAATAACCTAAATTAATTGAAATAACTAGGGTTTGATTTAATTGTGCTCCATAGCAAACATTAGCTAAAATTTGCCAGCGTCTCTCTCCCAAAAATCTCGCTCGCCACTCTCCATTCTCGCTTGCCTCTCTCGCTTTATACACATAAGTGTATAATTCTGTTTCTGTTTTGTATAAAACGAGAGAAAATTGTATATACACATGCAAAAATGTATATCTTCGTGTTATACACTTAATTATACAATTTACAAACATTTTACTTCAAATATTGCAGAGAAAAAGGCCAACGAATTATACAATCGTGAATTATACAATTGCAGTGAAATACAATTTTCTCTAGCTTTATATAACAGAAGTGTATATATTGTGTTTCTATTTTTGTATAAAGCGAGAAAAACATATATCTTCTTGCTATACACTTATAATTATGCAATATACATACATTTTAATTCGATTCAACTGTATGCAAAGCAAATTATACAATTGCAGCGAAATAGGCCAGCGAATTATACAATTTAGGCCAGTGAATTATATAATTGTATATGTATAGCGAATTATACAGTTTTATGTTTGATATAGAGCGCAATTATGCAAAGTTTGCTATAGCATACAAATATGAATTTTTTGTTTGCTATATGTGAAAGTTGCCCTAAATTTTTCACGTGATCAATCTTAATTCATTTACAATACAATTTTAATGCATATTACAAAGAACAATTTATTATTCGCATATAATACAAGTTTTAATGATGGATAATAATTTTTTGCACATTTTAATACATTTATAATACAATATGTCGATTTTTTACCAAACAAACATAATATATTTCAAAAAAACAATTATAATTCATATATATTGCATACATAATTCACCTTTAATTCATATTGCAGATTTTACATAATGTTGCTATAAATAGTAATAAATAAAAAGTATCGCTAAAATCAATAATTATTTATTAAAATGTATCAAATTTATGTAATTTTTCCTTTTTAAAAATCTTCCCATCCTATGGACCGATAAACGGGCCGACCCAATCACAATATGTGGGTCGAGTCCAGTTTATAGAGATGGGCTGGTTCGAGTCTTGTTTATTCTGAGCCGGGTCGGTGGATACTCGGAGCCCCATTGCCAAAGTTCAGTACTGAGTACGTCAATGGCGATTACTCAAAAAGTGAAGAGCAAATTAACAATGGTGATATGATCCGAACAGTGACGGAGGTCGGAAGAATGACCGGAGGAGCTTTATCGGAATGTATATTTTGCCAGATTGCTACCTCTTCAACTTCAACCACTCTCCTTCACTCCGTCAGATCTCTCCTCTCACTTTTTTTTTTGGTTCCGATAACAATCAGTCCACATGCGTGAAGTAAGTTGATGATTTTGTTTGGTTTAATTGATTTTACAGGATGATAAAGTTGTTGCATTTCAAGATATTAATCCCTCTGCCTTCAGGTTGTTCAATTTTTCATTGTTTCCTATTGTTTTTACTATAGTTGGATTCAGTATTTAATTCAAGAGTGAATGATCAAAATTATGCATAAACTATCCTGGTTTTTGAGTTTCATGCTTGAACTATTAGGAGCTCTAGTTTCCCAGGTACAACTATCATCAAATGTTCATGGAAAAACACCTTCAACTATCAATTTCCTTTTCCTAAATGAACAGTGATGATATTTCAGCTAGTAAAAGGAAACAACTGACAGCTGATGTATAATTGATAAATAGTTGATGAATCCCATTCGCTCCCCTAGCTTTAGTCTCTCAGTGTCGGCCCAGCAGAGTAGATCAGGTAGAAAAAAGAGAACAATATTTGATAAGTTGATATAGTTCAGTTAGGAAAAATTAACACGACCGGATAGTTTAGGTACAGAACTTGAAAAAACATGATCTTCAGGTGTGTTTTTGACCATTTAACTCTTAATCTAATGAATCAGTAAGCCTCAATCTCAAACTAGTTGATGGCGGACTTTAAAATAACTTGACTAACTCTCAGCTGGCCATTTGGACCTTACTATGCCGTGGGAAACTTAAAGTCAGGTCGCAGGCGGTAGTTGATTTCTTCTCATATCTCCTGGCCAGACAGAGTTACTGGATGGATACATATGTTGGTGGGAGATAGCAAGTATCCTGGGGAATTAGTCGAGGTGTTCACAAGTTGGTTCGGACAAAATTTTTATAAAAATAAAATAAAATTGGGAGTTTTGTATATAATCATTTAACTTGTAAATTATGATCCATCTTCTGCTGTTTTTTTAGTTAATTGAGCAGCACAAGTGCTTTCCTTTGCACTACATTTTGTAAGTTCTGGCTTAGTTGTTCATAGATTCCGTGAAATCCTATTTGCTGAATTTTTTGTATTGCATTTTAACTATGAAACTGATGAGTTTCATTCATATTGAGTTATATTGGCGGAGGGACATAGAAATACTTATTTCCTCGCTTTGTAGTTAATAAATACTCTACAAGAGAATCATAAAGTGGCTTTATTTTTGTATAGATGGACATGTTAATGAATTCCCTTTTTCTTCCTCTTTATGTCGAATATAGGATATACAAATGTTAGCTAGTGCTAGGATGTAATGAAGAGCTATCCCAGCTTCAAGTCTTTGCCACTTTTAGCATCACCCTTTGAAAATGAACAATTAGATACATCATTTAGCTGCACCGGAGTTCAATTGAGCAGGCTCAACTTACTTATCTCAAGTTGATAGAATGATTCTTTGGCAGTAAAACTTTTACTCTCCTTGGTAATTGTATCAAGTCAAACTAAGTCATTAGAACGGAAGGGATGACTTATGGATCTTTTATGCCAAGTTAAGTCATTAGAAATGGAGGGAGGTCTAAGGGTATGTTCAGTATGAAGAAATGATTTCCAATTTCCCATGTTCAGTTGGTCAAATATTTTGAATAACATAAACAAGCTCCTTAAAAATGAGGAAAATAACCTCTCTAGTGAAATTAGGAAAAACAAGCTCTACCAATGACATGCGATATTGATCAGGTCCTCCCCATCGTCCAACACCTCATCTTCACCCTTAGCCTCCCTAGTCCTCATCCTCGCCATCCCACAGCCCTACCTCCCGACCTCAAGTTTTCATAGTGCTTGTCTAAACTATATACAATTGCTTTTTAGGATATGCTTACCTATGGAACACAAGAAAATAAGGAAGAAACCCACTTATTTTTCAAGAAAACATTTTCCTTCATACATGACACACCCCAGTCAGTAGGAATGGAGGGAGGACTATGAATCTTGTACTTATCTTTAATGGTCATAATGCTGGCCTTCTGTTTGGCAAGTAACTAGAAATGGAGGGAGGACTATGAATCTTGTACTTATCTTTAGTGGTCATAATGCTGGCTTTCTGTTTGGCTCGTTATTTTTGGTCAATTACTCAATCAAATATTTTTAATCATGAGAAAGAAACAATATGCAGATAGTTTTGTATAATCTATTTGTTCTCCATAATTTTTTAATACTTTCAGTCAGTATATTTATTTCTAGGCGACATTGTATTATGTCTTATCTAACATGGTAATTTGATATGCCATATCGGTCATCTAATTTTACTTCCGTTGCTGGCATAGAATGTGAATTTGCAAAATCCTTTGTAATGATCTCCTCTTAATACTCAAAATCTTGACAGGCATTACTTGGTAATTCCAAAACAGCACATTCCAACTGTCAAAAACCTTCAGCGAAGCTCAGACGACTTCTCCTTGGGTAAAGTATACTTATTGGATGCATGTTTACTACCTCATTTTCTTTTGGAATCTCGATACTGCCTTATTTCTCTGTTTTCACACATCTAACTTGCAGCTTCTTTTCTTATAGTGAGTCACATGTTAGATGTGGGAAAGAGTCTGCTAGATAGGGATGCACCTCAGTCAAAGCACTACAGGTATTGTCTTTTAAACACATATACAGAAAGAAGGACTTGCATCTTCATTATCTCGACAGCATTCTATAATTTGTAGTATGTAATGAATGACATAACCACACCTAATACTCCTGAATTTTCTTTTCAATCACTTAGCAGAATAAATGCAGGCATCTAAAGCAATGTTAATCCAATGATTTAGCGAACTTGTTTTGCAATTTTAGCTTTCTGCTTTATTTTCTGGCTCTTGTGTTGAATTAAGGGCCAATCAACAGAAGCTTCTATGGAAGAAGGACTACGTTTTACAATCTTAGCCGCTAGTTGTAAGTACTGTTTTGAGGCTAGAGATAGAGAAAACAGCTGCAATGATGTAGTTGATTTCTCTAGGATACAACTTGCAAGTTCATAACCAATATATATTTTGAAATATTGTCATGCGTTCTGGAATTTAAACAATTTTGGTATTACTTTATATTTCGGGATTCTTAACATAGAAACTTATACTTGTGGATTAGGAATCCTTTTCACAACTATTTTTCCATGTTCTCAGATTTGGTTTCCATCAGCCTCCATTCAACAGTGTAGATCACCTCCACCTCCACTGCTTCGCGCTTCCTTATACTCCAAGGTAACCTTTTCTCTACATGCTTAAACTTCCTTGATACTCTAGAACATTACCTTTTCGAAAACTTTGAACTCTTCGAAGTGTTGTATATTCCCTTTTCTAATTTTAGACGTTGAACAGCTGGCGATTTATGAAATACTTATCATTGGGGCCTCTTGGTGGATTTATAGAAGTTGAAAAACTATTGGAGAGAATAAAACCACCAATTATTCATCCCTCATCAATGTAACTGGCTCTGGATTTGCGGTTTCTAATTGACAAAAGAGTAAGTAATCTGCTGATTATTATTCATTTATATACACAAATCCTAATAGATACAAATACTTGGTGATTTCTTTTCATCTATCGACTATCATAGCCTTGGTGGATAGAACTATCTAATACATATTATTGTTGGTGGAAGGTGAAAGGTAATTCGTGATCTGGTTTTTCTGCTTTTTGCGGAGAGCCACACTGTAATTAGTTGGCATGTGTTACGTTTCACAAGTAATGATGAAACGTTTATATGGGAGTCCGAAGCCTAAAGGTATAAAATATTAACAAAAAATTCAAAACGGTATATAAAATTTTATATTAACCAAAATGGCAAAATCGCTTGAACAACAACGGTTTTGCTTTTTCCGGTGGAGTAAATCGTTGTTGTTCCAGCGATTTTGCCATTTTGGTTAATATAAATTTTTATATATTGTTTTGAAGTTTTTGTTAATATTTTATACCCTTTAGGCTTCGAACTCGTTTATATGGATTCTATAGTCCATTAGCAATTGTCAAAATGAGTTGCAGATACTTATCTTATGTAATTTTTATAAATAATTTATATCAACTTTTACCTTTCGTGGATCCAAATTTCAACTTTGAATCTTAATTATATTTTCTACTAAACTATTGCTCGTAAAATTAAAATGTATAAATGATTTTTGCGGATAATTTTAGAATGTAACTTAGGTATCATCACAAATGAAACCTAGGAAATTAGAATATCGAACTAGTAAATCGTAACTATAATAGAAGAGACGTTTAATGATAATAGGTATATTTTTTAGCGGTGATATTTATTATTGTTGTAAACACATTTAATAGCAACTAAATTAATGTCATTGCACTTATAATAGCTACGATCTTAAACGATATTTATATAAAATTCTGATTATATTATCTCGATTTATTGCATTAAAAATTTACACAAATAATTAAAAGTGTCCTGAAAATTGACTTTTAATGTATGTGTTGTTGTATTACACATCAGACACAAAGTCAATTTATATGATTAGGGGTGGACCCACGTTGATGTTTAATTTCATATCAATTTATATAAAAATTTGAAAAAACGGTATAAAATTGAATATTGATCACTCAAAAAATTTTAAAAAATTTAAAATTTATCAACAAATTGTGACCGCAAAACACAACTTAAAAACATAATAAATTATTTCTTTTAAATATTTTTGACTTACCTATGTTATTATACATAGACAAAATTCTAATCATGTAAAATCGATAATTAAATACATGAAAAAATTAAATGAATTAATATATTTTTAAGAATGATTACTAAACTATTTTTTATTTATTACTATTTATAGCAATATTATGATAAATCTGTAATATGTATTAAAAGTGAATTATTTATGCAATATATTTGAATTGTAACTGTTTTTAAAATATATTATGTTTATTTCGTAAAAAATTGTCACATTATATTATAACTTATAAGTGTACTAAAATATGTGATAAATGTATTATTCATCATTAAAACTTATATTATATTTGAATAATAAATTTATCTTTCTAATATATATTAAACTTGTATTATTATAAATAAATTAAAAGTGATCAAGTGAAAAAAATGTTATTACTATAAATTATAAATATTTTTTTTATTATAGTATATTTACGTAAGTTTCCCCGAATACATTAACCTCAATAAAATCATAAAATCCATAAGAAAAAAAAAACTTATAATTTGGCATTGCCATTGGAGAGTTATACGGATCACCCCCAAATTATTTGTGTAATAATCAGTAAAGGAAGAAGAAAACTAAATCCAAAATTTCCCTTTTTACTCAATTCACTTTCTCAACAAAAAATTAAAAAAATGAGCAGTGCAGAAACAGAGCTTCTCACCATCGGTCCTCTTGAGCTCAAATTCGCATGTAATTTTTTTTTTATTTGAGTTTATCCTCTCTGTTTTTTCCCCATTTTTTTAATTTTTTTTTTGACGTTATTTGGTTTTGATTTGATCAGTTGAGCTGAAGAAACAGATATCGTGTTCCCTTCAATTATCAAATAAAACTGAAAATCATGTCGCATTTAAGGTGCATTTTCCGTTTTTAAATTTTCTGTTTTATGATTTTTGAATTTTTTTCATAAATTTTCTTTTTATTATATAGATTTTGATTTGTTTTTGTTTTTGTTTTTTCAGGTTAAAACGACGAACCCGAAAAAGTATTGTGTTCGTCCGAATACAGGCATTGTTTTGCCTCGATCCACTTGTGATGTTATCGGTATTCACATTTTTTTTTTGTCTATCTAACAAAAATAGTATATTTTTTAAGAGATTAGTTGTTGTGTTTTATGTTATGTAACGTTATTGACTTATTAGTTCGTATTCTTATCCTGCATTTTTGGAAGTGGTGCAATTCGAACTTTTGATGACGACTTGGTCATGTGGCAATAACTTTACTAGTTGTGCAGCCAAGGGTCGGCTTCATTTGAATAAAGAAGAGACACATTTTGATATTTGGAAATAATTTAATTTTAACTTCTCGTTTTTATTCTTAGTGATGTGTTTTTATAGCTACGGAAATGTCATATGTGACACTGTTTTCTTTTATTAGTTTGTTAACAATTTAACTTAAAGCTTAGTATTTTATCCTTGATGGTATATTTTTTATAGTCGTAGAAATCTCATTACGTGTCTAAGACCGTAAGTTTCAAAAGATTTCTTTTTTTTTTTTGGTTGAGCTATATGTTCAGTCAAATAATGTTATATACATTAGGATATAAGAAAGTTGAAGTTATGTATATGAATTCGTAATGTCCATGTCTCTCCCTTTAAGCTTGTTACTGCAGCTCAAATGTTAACTTTGAAATTATGTTTCATCAAATTGAGATATTATAAGTTTGAGTCGGCTATCTGAATCTTCACTCCTCACTGTCCAAGTCGTTCCATTTAAGCTCATCAGTGCAGCTTAACTTTAACTTTAACTTATACTTCACCGAATTGACATACTTCATGTGTTTCAATTTGTTTGTCTGGTTTTAACTTTATACCGACTTTAAGAAAGCAAATAAGACTTTTGAATTTGTGGTCTTAAACTAAAGATATGTAGAATGTACCAAAATGTCATTTAATCTTGGAGTCTTAAACATGCTATATGGAAAGTTAGAATTAAAAAGTTGACCAAAAAAAAAGGAACTTATCACATTGTTAGTGTCAGATTTTCGTTTCTTGGTTTGGTCGTTGAGTTAAGTTTACATCTTTTTGTAGTAACAATGCAAGCACAGAAGGAGGCCCCTGCTGATATGCAATGCAAGGACAAGTTTCTACTTCAGAGTGTCGTTGCAAGCGCTGTTACCAATCCAAAAGACATCACTCAGGAAATGGTAATCATACAAATGACTGGATCTTTTTCTTCGTTTTCTAATGCCGAGTCTCTGAATACAAGAAAAATGTACCTTTATTATCATATTGAGTTAATCGTCAAAAACACATCTGAACTATCACTTATTCATGAGTCTCACATTCCAACCATCAGTTGTTTTATTTTCCTACCTGAAGTATCATCATCTATGTATTAGAACAGACCTCGAAGTTGATTAGACCAACTATCAAATGGTGATAGTTCAGGTAAGAAAAGGGAACGCTTGATAGTTGAGGTGTGGAACTCATGAAAAAGCGATAGTTCAGATGTATTTTTGATCATTATCTCTATCGTATTAACTTACCTTACTGAAATGTTTGATAAATAGGTGGATAATGTTTTGGTCGTTGTTGTTACTCAACCATTTAAGCGTAGTGAAGTTTGTTGATCTCTTTGTAGTTCAATAAGGAGCCTGGACGCGTTGTAGAAGAGTGCAAATTGAAAGTGATTTACCTCCCCCCTCCTCAACCACCATCCCCCGTGGCAGAAGGATCAGAAGAAGGTTCTTCACCGAGGCAGTCCTTGACAGAGAATGACAATCAAAATGGTTCTGAGGTTGTTTACTAAATCGTTTAATTCTTATTTATCGTCTTTAATTAGTTTTCCAGTCTTACTCTTGATGAAACTTGATTTATATGAATGTCATTGCAGCTCACAAGAACATTTCTTGAAACTCATGACAAATCTACAGAGGTGAAATTTCTAATACAATTCCACACATTTCGTCCCATTTAAGTCAAATAACATGTGTGTGTATCTTAGTTTACTCC